TCTCTCTCTCTCTCTCTCTCTCTCTCTCTCTCTCTCTTTTGTGTGTGTGTGTGTGTTTTCAAACAACCCCAAACTCTCTCTCCCATTCCATCCGCAAATCATCGCGAAGTCATCAATAGAACGAAAGAAGCATGGATACATTGGATAGGCAATATAGTAGAAGATGCAACGTTGGCCATGTTTGTGCGGTTAAGCGCCAAGTGCCTACACACCCGTCTGTCGCGGGAGGGACACTCTTGCACAAGATATGTATATATTAAAATCCATAAAAGGATGATGGGCAAAAGGCAACATAGGGTGTTCAGCCAACACGGGTATGAGTGGGAGGGTGAATGGGTTGTGTGCGGTGTGTGGGAAAGTGTTGGCCTTAGACACTCGATGGGGTGGGGGAAGATGATGAAAAGGGAGGTGCAGGTACTGACAAATGCTTGGTCCTTGTGTTATCTAGGCCCCCATCGACGGCCCCAACCCTGCACCCTAAACCACTAGGCCTTGTAGGGGCAAACATGCAATTACCTCCCTCCACCAAGAGAGGTAACCTACCTTCACCAAGAGAGGTAGATTGCTATGCTTATGCTTGCAGGGGTCTCCTGTATAGCCTTAGGAGTAGTGGTAGGTAGGTCGTGAAAGAAAGGTAGAGTGCTATGCTTGCAGGGGTCACCAAGAGAGGTACATAAGCAGGAGCCCGAAGCATATCCTTCATTGAAACGACATCCCCTGTTCTTAAGCAGGGCAAAAAGTTAGGCCATGTGTAAATACTAAATAAGAAAATAACCAACGAAACATATCGAACCCCAAAAGAAGAATCGCTCCCCAGCAGGAGCCCGACCCTGGCAGCTCAAATCTGCTAGGAGTCCCAGGACAGAGAACTAGAAAGACCGGAGTGTGTGGGTGTGTTTGGCCGGGGGGGGATCGCTGGGGGGAAGGAGTTTGTAGATTTTCCGAAACCTGTTTTTTTTTTTAATACAAAAAAGGAAAAGGGATTTAATAGTAAATTTATACCGATTTATTGTATCATCACAGGTTGGGAAACGGGCCATGCATCCCTCACATCAATAACCACAGCCTGGAGGGATGAGCCAGGCTCTCCGGCCAGGCTTAACCCCACCGCTGCTGAGGGCCACAGATATTACCGTCCGTCTCAAGCTCCCATATGACACACAGCCTTTTTTTTTTTTTTTTTTTTTTTTTTTAATAGGAAAACAGCCTTTTTTTTGGTGCTACCACCTGTTCTAAGACGTGTATTGCCCTGCACTTGGATGCGTATTTTTTCTGCCTTGTCTGCCGTTTTTTCTTTTTCTTTTCTTTTTTTTTAATCTGCGTTTTTCTGTTTCTATTCTTTTGCAGCAATTCTTCGCTTCTCTCTTCTTGACAATTTGTTCCCCGTTATTATGTTGCTTGTCCCACTGCCATTATTGGAGCAGCTGCAGCTGCTGCTGCTTTTTTTTTTTTTTTTTTTTTTTTTTTTTTTTTTTTTTTTTTTTTTTTTTTTTTTACTTTTTTTTTTTTTTTTTTTTTTTTTTTTTTTTTTTTTTTTTTTTTTTTTTTTTTCTTTTTTTTTTTTTTTTAACTGTTAAGTTTGTTAACCCACAGCTGTTGCAGGAGGCTGCTGTTTCCGGCTCCGATCTTTATTCATGGGCAGCAGCACGTGCTGGGAACTGGGCCTAGCGGCCCTTTTTTACATAGAAGAAATGAATGCCATGACCCTGCTCCTGTGACCAGTGGAGGCCATCTTCAGTTCCTGTGTGTTATGTGGTCGTTGTTGTGGCTGTCCACCAGCCCCCCCTTGTACCGAGGGTCACCGGCTCCTCCTTAGGCTCTCAGCTGTTATACCCTTGTGCGCCCAAAAAATCTGCCAGACACAGCCTATTCCCTGTGTGCAAAGAAGGTCGTCTGCAGACCCTGCCTCTGTCATATGTTGTCCCGCTGGCCCCTGTGGGGCCCTTCTGCAGGTCGTCGGCTGTGATTACCCTCGTGTGCTCTGTACTGAGTCCGTAGAAGTGACTACCACAGCTCAGCCCCCTGCGACCGCAGCAGCTCATCTGGTATACCTACTTGTGCTACTGCAATTCCACTCCTGCTCAAAGATCATCCGGCAAACAATCCGAGATAAACAGATTCTCAAACTAATCCGCTCTGGGGACTACAAGTGTTTTTTCATATGCCGCACTGAAAGATTGAAGAGGCGACCATAGGTGCCATCATGGCCTTTGGCCTTAGCCCCCCCTATTATCATATATTATATACCTTAATGAACTCGACCACTTGATAGAAACATATGTCCGTGAATATAACAAGAATCTGCTCCCAGTTTCGCAACAACATATGACAGCACGCAACGTAGTGGCAGTAGTACTTTGGAATCGCATTGGCACGATTTCTTATAGTTTTACAGTGCCAAGTCATCTTGTCATCGCCTTTAGTGTGTCAAATCTGGACAGGACGGCCTTCCAGGCGTACTTATTATCATTATAGTATTCCGGGGAACCCCATAGCAGCCACATCACAGGGAACATGCGGGAGCTGCACCGACAAGCAGGTGCGATACCTGCTTCAGCAGGTGGGCGATACCGGGCAGGGGTCAGCCGGCAGCATCAGGACCGAGCTTCTTCGATGGGTCAGTCGCTGTGCCTGCCGTTCGGTCCCCTCCCCCTCCGAACATCGACAGTCTCTGATCAGTGCCGCTCAGGGGAACCCTCGGCCTATCTCTAGGTGTCGGGCGCCAAGCTTGCCCAGGAAGGTACATGAGGCCAATGGGGATTGAGCCCAAGACCTGCTGAATGCCACTTGCCTGCCTTACCAACTGAGCTAAGCCTCTGGGTCCTTGGATTAATTTCACAAAAGGGAAGTTTGAATCGAGGGAGGAATGGATCGTCTCCCCGGTGTGAGTGATTCGTCTCCCCGGTGTGAATGCTTCAGAACACCCGAGGACCCTTCAGTGGAGTTACTTGGCCCAGGTGCTCCAGGCAATTCTGCAATCTGTGATCTGGGAAGAACGCAACAACCCTGTGTTCCGTAAAGAAGGATCTCCAGATGCAGTCCTTAAAACTAGAATCAAATCTCAGATTGAATATATTGCATTTTGCCAGAAGCAGGGACGAGTACCAATGTACGGAGCTAGGCAACGGAGAGACAGCACAAGAGGTACCTAGTCTACCATCAATGGTAGGTTACAGAACAAGTCGAAGGGATAAACATCACAGGCAAAAGGACACCAAGAGGTCGAAGGGATAAACGACACAGGCAAAAGGAAAAAGTCTTAACTCATGGCCTCAATGGACATGCAGTGCAAGTGAATAAGCATGCACATCTGTATGTGTGTATTATGGGAAAAAGTCTTAACTCTTGGAACACATTATCAGGTGTTGGATAATCCAGGTACCGAAATCAGGTGGTATTATAGGGGGCCCACTTGAGAAAGATGCTCTCAGCACTCCCTCAAGTGTCCCCCTCCTCCCCCCCTTTTTTTTTCCTTTTCTTTTTTTCTTTTTTTTTCTTTCTTTTTCTTCCCCTCTCCCCCCCCCCCCCCCCTTGCCCTTTCTCAAATGGTTCCTATGTACTTCGGGTAAGAGAGGATTATCGGCTTTGCTTCCAGCCAACAGGAAGCTTATCTAGTCCGCCTAGAGGCCCACAAATCTTGACTTTGTCACCGCCCATTGGAATTGATCTAAATGGCAAACAGAGTAACTATCAACGCGCATTGGAATTATCTGGTACTTTTGGAGGGCGCTTTATTTTGGTAGTTAAAAAGGAAGAGAGAAGTGATCCGACGCGCTGTACGTTATTTTTCTCCGACACGCTGTACGCTATTTTTCTTCTTCATTTTCTTTTTCAAAAGGGCAACGGCCGCCTCAGGCTTGTAGAAATTGACTCATCTGCTTCCAGTGTAGTTCGAACTCAGTTGGTCTATGTACTATCAACAGTTTAGGGGTGCACCTACTGAGCTAGGCCAGGTGGTACCCTGTACGATTTCGGTACCTGGATTATCCAACACCTGATAATGTGTTCCAAGACTCGAAGAGGTAAGTCCCGCGCTTCTCCTTGAAATATTACCATGACTGTTCTCTCCTTCAGCCATGCTGTAACCAGGGCATCTAAGCCGGGGTCGACTCGAAACTGTTACAGTCTGACTCCACCTTCAACAACCGATTCCCCATGGCAAAACTTCTCCGGGATAATATCGTCTTCGTAGCAGTTCGCAATCAATATCCTCATCCTATCCTTATCCGTCATTGAAATGTCTGTCCTGTTTTGTGGAGCTGCCGGCCTCCCGTTGCCCTGATTCGCATCTGTTCCAAGA